GATAGATGGATAGATAGATAGATAGATAGATAGATAGATAGATAGATAGATAGATGGATAAATAGATAGATAAATAGATAGATAGATAGATAGATAGATAGATAGATAGATAGAGAGATAGAGAGATAGATAGATAGATAGACAGATAGATAGATAGAGAGATAGGTACTGGGAGGGTATTTTAGGATTTCAGGATTCTTCAAAAAAGGGGCCTCTCAAGCAATATCAAGTGAAACATGTTTTGCTCATGTCCATTCAGTACACGGTGTTCATTTCAGCTGCCCTAGCTCCTTTAATCCTCCTGTTGTCCTCATATTCTGTATCCACCCCGTGTCCTGCGGGTCGAAATGACCCGTCTTCACTAAACCCCCAATATAAACAGCTTAATTGAATTTTAAACACCAATTCTTGTTTTGCTTGAAGAAACAACTTGTCCCAACCTTGTACCTGGCAGAAAGACTACATTTATTCAAGACAACACTCGTTGCTATGACACTGTCAATTGTATTATTGTTTACTGTATATGTGGTACGCAATATTTGAATAGTATTTGTCTCCATGTTTGCGAAAACCCTCAAGATTTGTCATGTCCAGGACTATTTTTTTCTATTGCTGGTGTGATAACCATGTAGAATGTTGAGACAATGTCATTGGGATGAGAATTATTTTGTTGTATGTTTTTTGAAAGGAAAGCCTCTCAGATTCAGGGATTTCTTCTTCTTCTTCTGAAGATGATTCGTCATGCTCTGGGTTGTATTCCTACCCATGTTCTTCTTCTAAATCAGAGTTGTCTTGTTGGACATCTGATAGAATCAGCTGTAGCGCCTGTTCAACTTTATAACGCACACTCATTGCCTCAGCACGGAGAGAAAGGGGCATTATTGTAACATTTGGGTCAGATCGGGTCACAGGCAGTGCAGTCCGCGAGAAGACCACCAGTTTGGTCTTGTTTGCGTCTGCTGCTGATTGACCTGAGACAGAACTAAAACATTCTCACATACCGTGGTGTGTAACTAACTCTGTGACTCAATTTGACTGTCGGGTCGTTTTGACCCGAAGACAATATTTGTACCTTTTTTTTTGTACAGCTTACATGGAAATATGAATAAAGGCAACAATTCACTTTTCTACTGTTGGGCTGAATCTAGGAAAAGTCATCAAATTTCAAGTTGAAAAAATATCGTTTTGGGGATTTTTATTTGGTTTTAAACACAGTGAAGGGGTCATTTTGACCCGAGGACATCTGCAGGGTTAAGGCATGGGATGGCCTGCACACCCGAAGGAAATTGTTTTGTATTGCAGCCAAAAAACGAAAACACTACAGCACATCACATTCACAATACACAATAGGATACATTTTGTTCAGGTTTTCTATGTAATGTTATGCTATGCTAAGATTTACCTGCTACTGAGCCGAGATGGGTCAGTCTAGGTCAGTCGAATGTGTTTGAGGGGCAGCACTGTCCTCAGCAGTCTTGACGATCTTTGCAGAGACTGCTGCTGTCTTATGTTACCTCTGTGTTTAGTTTCTGGTTTCTGTACAGCAAGATGCCCTCTTGTGTGAGGACCTTTCATTTACATAAGATTTGAGCTATTTAAAATGTCATTCTCTAGTCTGACGGAGATTTTATCATTGCATTACATAAACTCCTGGTATATTATCTACTTTAATTTGCAGCATGGTTTATTTTCACCAGCGAGCATGTGATGATGTCCATGTGAGCATCAGGCTACATCGCATGCAGGATATGGCTGAAATGGACGAAGAACAAAGCAAGAGCTCTGTTGAGGAAGTGTGTCATTGACAAGGTCTACCCCTACATAATGCCTGTGGAGAAATCTCAGTCAAACTCTGTTCTGATTTAAACTTGAGGTTTTGTATTTGTCAAATTGGATCAATAATTCATCCATCCATCCATCCATCCATCCAT